GGGCCCATGGGCAAGCTACTCTGAATGGCCCCCCTTCCCAGGCAGGCAACCATCTCTCCACCACGGCCCAAGCTGCTTTCACTCCCCCTCCTCTTCCTCACCCTTGCTACCACCTGCTGGATGGGCAGAGAACCAGGGGGCTGGCAGACGGGGGCATCTCTGTCCCCGACATGCCAGCGAAAGCCACCTCTGGCCAATGCCACACAGTGAGATCACGCCCTGACAAGTCGCCATGTATCAGACAAGACAGATCTTGCGGCATGAAATCATTACCGCACCACTAAAGGCATCCGGCCACATGGGCAGGGATGCCTTTTCTCAAGTGGGGGAGAGATGAGTGGGTCACAGCCAAGTGGAAAGATCAGGTCATTGATACAATCTAGATTAAAGGTGTGACCCTAGGCAAGTTTAGACAGAAATGAGTCCTACCATTCCCAAGATTCCCCTAGGCATTCCTAACTAAACACCAGTAAGATCCCATCTAAAGTTGCTTAAATGCAGCTCATTTTAAGAGCATTTGGTCTGATGATTTCTATTTCTGCTCCCATAATATTTACCACAATCGAAGGTGGAATAAGTTCTATCGGTCAGTCTCTCAGTGATCCGGGGTAGATTGTTAAGGTATTCTCACCCATCTGTCTCAAAATTGGGGGTGGGGGGATGTGTGTGTGAAAGGATTTGAGCCCAGTTGTACAACAAACGCTTGTGTTCTCAGAGACCCCCCTGCTCCTTATTTGGACTCATTCCTTCTCTGCCCTGAGCCAGTATTTTGTGCCTGACTTCTGTGGGTAAGCTGTTTCGAGATGCTAGCTAAGGAAAGCAGTGATCAAGGAACCCTCAAGTCCACTGAACTACAGCAAGGCAATTGCAATTTGACTCTGTAATTGATGTTCCACCTTTCTGCAAGGAGCTCGAGACAACATACATAATTTTTTCTACCAACTTGCATATTCTCCTCACAACAACCCTGCAAAGTAGGTACGTCAATCCCGGCTATCTCGGCCCTGTGAGAGAGAGTGACAAGCCCAAGATCAACCAGTGAGCCAAGTTCTCGTTTATCAATGTAACCACTACACAGCGCTCTTATCGGTCTTATTATTATTTTTCTGAAGCAACAGGATTTGTGACTTTAGCATAAATCCCGGGCACACCTAGCTCAGTTAACTATAGCAAATAAGCCAGGGTGCAGAAATAGCACTCTTATCAGAAATATGGGGGATCCTAAGGAATAATTAATTCCATGTTGTCTGGAGGGATTAACCTTTCAACCCTCCATAGTTAGTACCACAAATCTGATAGGAGTTGCAGCTGGATGGGCCTGCTATTTCTTCATGTCTTTATTCAATAGGTGAGGCTGTCTGGGCAGTTAACAAAAGTTAAAATTAAACATTTTAAACTATGCATTTAAGTGCCAATCAGCTGCACATTTAGAAAGAACAAAATCTTATAAATTCCAGAATTACCCAGTATGGCTGGCTGGGAATGCTGGGAATTGTAGTTGTTTTCCTGTCATGTCTGGGATTTGCTGTAGTCACAGAAGCTGCGCAAGCTTCAATAATGTCTTATTGAAGTTTCACATGTACTTAAGACGGCAGGTATCCAAGTGCTTGTCTGAATCAATCCATGGATTGCATGAGGATTCTGTACATGATTTTATCTACAGGCTTCCCATTAACAATGTAAAATCTAAAGCAACCCTTTTTCCTTCACAGCCTCTAAACCACAGCCAGTTGCAAACCCGTCCCTTTCTTGTTATAAAGATTGCATCACAAAATAAACAATCTTAGAAAAAAGTTTGGCAGATGTATTAATGAAGTATTCCTCACTATTTACTAAATAAGCTCCATTCCATGTGGTTCCTTTTTGAACTTTGAGGCCTCTCTCCTGTTATTATATATTTTTCTTCACGCATTTATTTCGATACTGCCCTACCCTCAAAGCTCTCTGGATGGTTAGCATTGTTGTTAGCTCCGTTGCAAGCATGCACGTCTGAAACACAGAAATTCAGTTGGGTCATTTTGTTTTAAATTGGTAGATCCCTGTGTAAAAAGGTAAGTGGCATAACATTTGAATTTCAGTTCTCCTGCAACTTTCGTGTTACCTGCAAATGCAAGATGTCTCCCTGAACCACTAATTTTTAGTCCTCCAATGACCATTCTGCTCCACCCCAGAGTTGCATGTATTTGGGAATGACACTTTTTCCTCCTCTCTCTCTTTTCCTTTCTTTTCTTGTGCTCTCTTTCTTTTTTATTTTTTTTTCTTTTTGGCAAGATAAGCTTCTTCTTCCTTGGCATGGAAGTGTTCTTTTTATCAAGCCTTGTAGGAAAAGGGGGGAAAGGAAAGATGTGGTGGAGGGAGGAAGCCCTGATCCTAACCCAACTCTTTTCTCTCTTTGGAGACTGCAAGAGGTGACGAAAATGGCAGGAAAAATGCTAAAAGTTGAGCAAAAGATCTCAAACACTATTTGGAGCACTATTTACAGATCTCAAGTCACTCTGGTCCGATCCTATAAATGTTTAGATGGAAAAAGTGACAGCTTCCAGCATTCTGGAAGTTGTAAGACCATTTTTCTGCCTAAACATGCATATGATTGGGCTCTTTGTTGTTTTAGAAAAAGTTTACACACACATACACTCACACACATTTATATGTGCATATATAGCTTTGCTCATAAAATTAACAGGTATGGTATCCTAAATTTAAAAGTATACTTTATTCAGAAAATAATTATAATTTTATTAAGGGCATTTTCTTCCAATGTTGCACATTTTTGTCACAACTGGAGCTATGATTCACTGAATTTTAAGGAATCATTTCAGTTTTGCCTATTGATGATATGCAGGCAAAAAGCTGAAAATAGAATTCAACAACATCAAAGCAAAACAAGGAAAGTTATTATTAAAGTTGTTATTATTCCGTGTGGAGGCAGAAATGCATTTCAGAGATGTACTGTACACTGCTTGTCCTTAGTGTACAGGAGTTGTACTGAACCAAAAACTGTACATAGTTTTACACAAAAGTCTTTCTATTGCATAGTTTTCAGAAAACATTTCCAGAGAGTGGGGGAGGCCAGAGAACTGACTGACTTGTCTTAAATGTGCATTCTTTTCCATCACTCTCAGATGAAATATTGCATATTCCAAAAAGTTTTTTTTTCCATTTAAAAAGCAAAAGGGAAGACCCCCCCCCCATTCTTCCCATATTCTAGACCCCACAGACAGACACAACTGTAAGGAAGTTTTATGCAGAACAAGGCTTGCTTTTCTGGGGTAGAGCTGAAAGCACAAGGCAAAGTTGCAGAGCACACAATGAGCTTGCTCGCCAATCTGTGCGCCAGGGCCAGATTAGTCAACTGGGGGGGGGGGGGGGGGGGTCTTCATCTTTCTTTAGATAAAGGAGGATGCCATGACATTTAAACCAGACAAAAAACAACCTGCAAATAATTGGTAAAGCACATTAACAAAACTTTGTGTGTGTGTTTTGGGGTGCAAGGGTGATCCCCTAGTTAGAAATAAATAGGGCGCTGTGAAATGGACAGACAACTTTATCCAGAGATTATAACAACTGGTTGCAAGTTATCTGATTCACACACGGGCGTAAGAGGCAGAAGTTTAAAAGCAGACGGCGAATTTTGGGGTCGGGGGTGAGAGAATGGAGGAAGGAGGAAAAGAAAGGAACAGAGGGGGAATGCTCAGTGGGACGTTTTGAGATTCAAGCTTACTGAAGAAAGATCCAGACCCTGGTTGACTTTATAAGGATGCCAGAGATCATCCTGGCCGGCCACTTTAATTCTGTTTAATTTCGGACGGATTATGCTAAAGGTGATGGCTGATTTGAAACTGCAGCACGTCCACTCGGCCTCTCTCTTCCCCGCACCCTCCGACCAAGGTTACGTGTCCGTATTTATCTCAGCACATTTAAGGACAGAAGTCCGGTCTTCTCCAAAGCTGGAGCGTCCCAGATGCGTTGGACTCCAACCCCCAGGATCCCTCGGCCAGTTGGAGACTGCTTGGCCGGCTGGGGCATCCTGGGAGTTGCAGTCCAAGACATCTGGAAGGCGCTAAACCGGAGCGGGCTGAACCAGCAATTCAATCTACTCTACCCAAGTAATCATTCACCACAATGTCAACAGGAATGGAGTCCCCACCCCAACCCCGCACGCTCCCAAAAGCGTCTGCAGGAAGGGGCAGCCGCGGCAAGAAGCCGAGACAGACAACCGAAATAAACTCGGCTAGAACTTGGCCCCGTGGCGCCGCGTTCACACGCACACGAGTCCCGATCCTCGGCGCTCGCGCTTGCTTTCTTTTTCTTCCGCTCTTTCTTTCTTTCACGCGACCTTCCCCTGCTCCGAGCCGCTCTCGGGGACCGGATCCTGCATCGAGCAGAGCAAAGCAGCTCGGCTGGGCGCAATACTCCTGCCCCCACCCCGCGATCCCGCGAGCGCGCGCGCGTGCAAGAGACACCCCCCCCCCACCCCCGGCGCCGTTGTGCATAAATCCACTCGCAGCGCATAAAGTAAGCGATGGAGGAGAAAGGAAGCCTCGGCAAGGAAAGCCCCTTGAAGAGTCCGGCTTGGAAGCTGGAGAAGGGAGGGGGAGGAAAAGCATCATGGCGGTGCACAAGTTTCCAGAGGGAACTTCGGCTAACTTTTCTCGGTGGCCCCGCGCCTCGCCCGCTCAAGCCGCCGCTGCCCGCCCCACGGCTCCCATCCCCGGGCAGGAAGGCGCGACCCAGCCCCTCCGTGCCCCCCGGCCGCATTCCGCAGGCCGAACCCTCGCCCCGCTGGAAGCCCGAGCGCTCGCGGATCGCAGAGCAGCCGACCTCTCTCCCGAGCGCACGGGAGGCGAAGCGGCACCTGGATGCCCCCGGACCCTCCTGCGCTCCCTGGGCTGTCAGGGCCAGGACAGCGCGCCGGGCTGCCCAACGCGGCGGCGGGGCCTGACCGGGGGGGGGGGTCCTTCTTTGGGGTGCCCTCGCCCCGCGCGGTCCCGCGCGCTTACCTCGTTGCGCTGCAGCTGCAGGAAGCTGTTCAGGTAGCTGGAGTTGAGCGACGAGCCCAGCTCCGTGCTGGTCTTGCTGGCGTAGTTCAGCTCCGGGTGCTGGGACGAGGAGGGCTCGGGGCGGAAGGCATCGAAGGCGCTGGCCTGGTGCGTGTCTTGCAAGGACAGATACACCCAGTTGAGCAGCTGGGCAGGCTGGTAGACGGAGGCAGCGCTGGTGTCGATGGCCGACAGCAGGCTCATCCTTGCCCCTCCGAGGCTGCCCGCGCGGAGACGGCGCCCCCGCTCCCGCCCGCCCTCCTCCTCCTCCTCCTCCTCCTCGCCCGCGGGCTGCTCCCCCCCCGCGCCTTCCTCTGCGGGACGTGCCGCTGCCCCGCCGCCGTGTCGGGGGTCCCTCCGGGAGGGAGAGGTGGCGGGGGACTCTCGCGGCTTCCGCACGCCCCGACCCGTCGGGGCCCGGCCAACTTGCCTCTCCCTCCCCGCCCTAGGGCGATCTGCGCCTCCCGAGCTCCGGCGCGCCGTCCACCCCCAGCATAGCTGCGCTTCTGTGGCGGCGGCGGCTGCCCGGGCAGCGGCAGAGTTGCTCGCCAACTTTCTCTGGCTGCTGCTTCTTCCTCCTCCTCTTCCTCCTTTCCCTCCCTCCCTCCTCCCTCCCTCCCTCTCGCGCGCTCCCGCGGCCACTCGGCGCTGATCCGCTATCTGTCTTTATTCTCAGCCTTTATTCCCCCGACGCGAGGGAGGGGCTCATTTGGATATTCAGCAGCCCCGGCCCGTCTCCTTCGGGCACCCTCGTTGACTATGCAGAGCGGGCAGGCCGAGAGAGAACGCGCATTGGCTCCTGAAAGTTCCGCTCGGCGACCTCATTTGCATGCGGGGAGGCCGCGGGCCAATCCGAGGCCGGGCCGCGCCCCCTCCCCCGCGCCTTTCCCCCGCCGCGCCGAAGCCGCGGCGAGCGCTGGCGTTGCTGCTGGCGTGCCAGGGCGGCGGCGGCGCCCGAGCCTGGCGGCAGAGGAGCGCGGCTCGCTGCCCGCCTGGGATCAGCATCCCGCTTCCGTGCAGGCGCCTCGGCGGTCGCTTGTCTGCAGGGCGCCTTCCAGGTTCAGCCGTCGCGAAGTGTCGAGGTGCGTCGTGCAACTCCGGGAGCGCTTCTTGGGGTCTGTTGCAGCAGAAGCATTCCCAGGACTTCCTCCCTTCCTTCCTCCCTTCCTTCCTCCCTTCCTTCCACAAGTGTCCCTCAGTTGCGGTATAGCAGTCACAAGCCATGGCACACGGCAGCCTTTCCTGATGCCTTGCAGTGCTTGGACCAGAGTGCCCATTGTCATTAATTACCTTTCTCAAAGAGCGCACGGGTGGGGGGGGGATGACTCCAGGTATCTTTTAATAACTGCGATTCAAACATCCCCAAATCGGAGCAACTTAGAACAGCTAAAATCAGTCTTCCAATGTCTGGAAACAGGAAATGCCTCTTGTGCTGACAAGAGGACCATGTGGGTCGACATGGACAAACATTCCCCAGTGAGGGGCCAACGCAGGGAAGGCTGTCTGTTTTGTTGCCATCTTCTGGACCTCCTTTAAAAGAGGCATGTGAAGGAGGGCCTCTGATGCGGAGTGCAGCGTACAGGTCATAAACCTTGGCCACTGGTTGTGCCAGTTGGGGAGTTAAAAGCCAAAACTAGCACAAAGCCAAGACAGTACTCCTGGCTGCTTCTCCTAACTCTCGCTGCCGCAGTGGATTGGATGCAAGGCTTCACCAGGGCTCATGATCATGCACACTAGTTCGCCCTCAATATTTTGCAGCCTGAAGGGGGAGTCTCGCTCCCTCCAAAGGGACAGGAATTCTAATTGACTGCTAATTCCCCATGAAGAGGGCCTTACATGCTAGCCAATGCTAGAGAAAGTAGGATTCTTACAAATGTCAGTGATTTTTACTTTCATACCAAAGCTGTGATATAATTAACAATTACTTTTATATACTAGATTCATCTTTGATTAAGAATTAAATGAATTAAATGTGACCATAGGAGACAGAAACCGTCACCTTGCTATGAACAGATACTGAAATTGCATGCTATATTTGAGGAATTTCCCCTGGCATCCTTTCCTCCATCTATTTCCTTTCTTCTTCTCTAATGTGCTTTTTGAATATGTATCTCTCTTTATATATTTAAAGAGAACCTTACGTGTATCTATTTGGTCCAGACAGATGCCATAGGAGTAAGGGCTGTCCATGCAGGAAAAACCTGTACATTCACATCTGGCTCTATGCATTTGGTACCCATGGGCACCAAGCAGCTTAAAACTTATCCCCATGTCTTTCTGGCTGTATTGTGCACCACATTTTAAACCTTATTCCTGTCTTAAATTAATGCCTTGTTTAAAGGCATTTTTTATATAAAATGGACTGGGCTTTCTTTTGCTTGGCTTAGTGAATCATTCTGAAACAGTGCCCATGGTATGTGAAATGCATTTAATGATGTGCATGGGAAGAGAGTGAAAGAAAATACCCTTCTAAGCAAAGCTACACAGACTTGGTTTAAAAAGAAAAAGAGAAAAGAAAGGTGAAGAAAACCGTGCCTGAGAATACACTGTAGAAAATACGATCAAGCCATCAGCTATAAACTTGGAAGATGGATGGATGTGTTTGCCACATGTGAGCAGGTTCTTAACTGCCTGCCTGTTTAGTTAGAGTTTAGGAATGGAGATTTTAAGGCTGGTTGGATCAAAGCATGTTAGTTGAAGAGTCAGCTGCAGAGTTCTGTACTGAAAAACTTTCAATACTTCTGAGCTCCACTCCACCCAAAAAGATGCAAACTAGAAAGTTTTACAAGGTTCAGCTGGTAAGGATCTGAAAGGAGCTGTCTCTAGCCCCCAAACGTTTTACCTTTGAACAGAGATTAGAAATGGTTCGACTCTTATACCATGGCAATTAAGAATGAAGTCATATTGTAGATCCACTTTATTTCTTTGCTTGTTATTTTTATTTCTGGTTATATATAACCAGCTCAGATGTAAAAAGTCTCAGAGTAGAACTTTAAAGACTGAATGTGGCATCCTGCTAGGCTATAAATGAATCATTGAAGTAGAGGGCTGTGAACACGTTTGGTTGATTTGTTTCAGGAAGAATAACATAAACAGAGAAAGTAGCCACTATAAAGAGCAGTGAATGGCAGTTCTCTCCAAAGGAACAACAGTACTGAAAGTTTGGGGGTTTGTAGTTGGAGGCCAGGAGAAAGACTGCAGGTTTGTTTACGGACAACTAAGAATGCAAGTGAAGTATTTTCAAGACTTCAAAATACTGGGGCCACCCTGGATGGGTGCATGGGTTTAATGGAGTCCCAGCAGCAATTGGTGAAGTCCTTGTTGATTAGTCCACATCCGATGCTCTGTTAGAGCTGCTGAACTGAGGTGTGTTCTCAAGATGCTTTGGCCCATAGCCAGGGTGGCCACGTGTTGTCTTTTACAGTTCTCTGTTTGAAGAGCGGTCCTATTCCAAGTCCACTCTAAATAGCCATGAGAAGAGAGAGGCTAGCATTTTCAAAGTTACCTACCATGGTTACCATCTGGATATCTGACTGAGCTAGACCTGGGCCTTCAATAGTCTTCCACACTATGATGATATGGTCCATATTTCTATATTCATTGATAATAATGTGGAAAAGATACAAAGGCCTACATGGCTTGGGAGCTGCAATGTGCATAGACACGATGGCGGACCTCTGGGGCCTTCTTCCGAGTGCCATCTCATGGGAGGCTTACAGGGTGGCAACAAGAGGGAAGGCTAAATTTGCGGTGGCCCCACCATCTTTGGAAGGACCTCCCACTTATGGTGTACTGAGAGCCAAACTTGTCATCTTTTCAGTGCCTAGTTAAGCTGGTCCTTTATGCCAAGGCCTTTAAAAACGTACATGGCTACCCAGGGGCTTGCGGGAATTACCCATCCCCCTTTTTACAGCATCATTTTTGGTGCATGCTTTAGCTATTTTAATTTTTTAAATGTTTCTTCATTTTTATATTTTTGTTGGATTTAATTGTCTTGTTTTGATGGATTGTTGTAATCTGCTTTCAAAAGCTTCACCTCTAGGATGGTATAGAAATGAAATCTAATAATAGGAATAACAATAATTGTTTTTTTTTTTTTAGTTTACATCCATGATTAGCATATGCAAATGACCATTTTCTTCTGTCCTCTTTTTCTTGGTGATGCATGTCCCGCTTACTGGTGATTCATAAAGTATCCATCCTATTAATCATCACTATCAAAACTGCTGAGGCTGATGGGAGTTAAAGGCTGAAAAATTTGGAGGGCCAAACCAAACTCTTGCTGTAGAAAGAAATGAAGTGAGTGGTTTTTAGCTCTCTGTAAATTTAAAAAGAAGTGAGTTTTACATCTTTTGCCAGTATAATATCATACATTTGCCAGAGGCAGAGTTAAAATTTGAGAAAATTGTGGAGGAGGGGGGGAATCAGCTACATTTGTACTAATAGTGGTCCCTTACATGAATTACTATATATTATAAGGATCTGCCATCACTATAACATTATAAATTATTTTAAAATGAGTGACAGAAGGCAAAATTGAAACAGTTTTGTTCAGAAACAGACATTACAACTATGTGTTAGCAAAATAAAGTGCATGCATCTACAACTATGATGAATATATTTGATTTATTGTAGTACAACCAAATCATATTTACAAATATTAAAGTGCATTTTACTTCAAATTTGGGGATGAGAGGCTGGCTCTTGCAGAGCCTAACCAGCTGAACCATTAAAAATTTATAGTACATATATAACTTATTTATAGTTAACACCTTTGGGGATGGATTGGAGCTCAAAATTATTGAAATTCTTTCAGTTTATATAAAATCTATGTATAATATTAAAAATCAAAGTAATATTAATTCTGTTTAGTTCTGATAAGTCCACAACACTGGGATTGCATAACACAATTGTCTAACAACAAGCTGTGCAGAAAGTTATGTATGAACACCCAGAAAACTACACAAATCTCATCACAATATGCATTCCAGGGAGTCTCACAAACTTTCTTAGACATCTGACATCAAACTGTACAGAAACGGTGGAGTATCAGGTTCCTGGGCTGCCCCACATGCTTGTCATAAATATGTCGGTGTGTTCATTTTACAACTGCTCGGAGAGACTGCAGTGAAGGTTATAAATAGCACTTCACAAGCTTTTGCGCTCATGAGGATTTTTCAGGCTTTCACCTTCCTTCAGCTGACCCTCCAGTTACCACAGTTTGCCTAGGGAAGCATAATCTGTTGCCTTGTTCTTTTGATAATTTGTGTCTGTGCTTCCAT